ACTGAGCATACCAGTGTTTGTGGTTTGTGAGTGTTCTGATCTGTCCTTACAAATGAGGAAGACGTTTGGGAGTTAATCGAGTTTAGTTTTTTGCCAAGTCATGACAACTGGTATGAGTGAGTTTAGTGTTACCAAATAATATCATGAAAATAGACGGGAAATTATGATATTGCATTGTGTTACACTGGAAATATTTGATATAAGACACAGATGTCTGACTGATATAACGGACAATCCCATTGCCATTACTCCAAATATAATCTCCTATTGTTGCCCACTAGCCTAACATACTAACCTACCTTTCCAATCAATACTTGAATCTATACTAGCCTACCTTCTCCAATCTATACTAGCCTACCTTCTCCAATCTGTACTAGTCTACCATCTCTAATCTATACTAGCCTACCATTCCAATCTCCAGGACCTTAATTCTAATTTTGTCTTGAAATTATGTGGACGCCATAATTAGTTTACTGGGCGGACCCAAATTGATTCAAAGAATTCGGCATTCAGCTAGAAACAAGTGTTTACAATCTGTGGTTGCACAAGGAACATCATTATCAATTACATAAATTAGTGCAACCATTAGGTATCACAGTTTATAAATCCCACCATTAGGTATCTTTGTCTCCCAACACCATTACATATCTCTCTCTATCACCACCATCAGGCCTGTCCTTCTGCTGCTAACATGACCATTCTCCCTTCCAACAACATGTTTGCTTCCTTTCCTCTATTAATATTAGGCATAACCTTATCCTGATCCTATTATCATTAGGCATCAAACCATCTCTCTCCTGCTGGTATGTGTCATCTACATCTCTTACCACGAAATTGCCTTGTAGTTGCAATTTCTGATATAATAGTAAATCCTTCTCACTCTTCTCTGTTCTCCTCATTATCCTCCAGCTTTTGCTGAAGTGGACACTGTTATGCGGATACCTTCTGTCTTTTGAGTTCAGTAAGTAGAAAGTAATTAAGTCCAAACTAGCCTGACCTCCTGGTTCTGTGCACACATGAGAGCCATAAAAGAGAAAGCAATGCATATGCCTCTTTTATAAGATGCTCACGCTCATATGTTCCATTGCAAAGTGATAATATGACATCAGAAGTCAGTTGTAGAAGTAGACTAGCCATACAGTAGCACTCTGTCAATCATAATTCATCAAAGACTTAATCTGTGCTCTGTAGAAAGAAGGAAAGGAAAACTCAATCTAATTTAACTTTTGAGACAGCAGGTGATACAAATGTGTTGCACCAGGTTCCTGTGTTCACTGGGTCCACCATTGCACCCAGAAACCATTACCATGATAAGTACTGCTAGGCATTCATATCCCAGACTCTAAAACTTCCTGAACAACATTTTCTTTAAGAGATAATTCTCCATCATTAGCAAGCCAGATAGTATAATTAAGTTAGGTACTGATGAAATGGCCAAAACTGGTCAAAGGTGAGAAGAGAGAAAAAAAAATATATCAGACATAAAAACAGTAATAAATAATATTAATACAAAATCTTGCAATAAAGCAAAATGTGATATCACATTAAATTCTAATACTATTATATATCATGATACCTAATAAATGCACCATGGGTGTTAGCAAACATCACAGTCTTAAGACAGGCATTAACAGTTTAAGTGTTCAAACTACCTCGAATTGGGGTATATTTTTTTTAACAATCAACAGGAGTCCTAAATGCAGATGTAATGTCATAGTAGCTGCCTACGGTACTAAGCTACAAGGGCAGAGAAAATAATTTAATCAAAATATGTTCGTTGGGCACTAATATTACAGCTCAATTACAGACCTATTATTTTACAAAATCTTACAAAAATCTTGGAACAAAGTACTTTTAAAAAGCCTATATAATTGTGTTTACAGAATAAATACTGTCTGTAGCTCATCCTTTACTTTGACATAAATTAACATATTGAAGTTTATTTTCTTTTGTAGAAATAAATAAACTAAGACGAAAGCTTGGCACCTTTAAAGGGCTTCCTGCAGTCTCTTCCTGCACTCTTATCTCGCCTGCCAGGATATTTCAGTGTGTTAGAACACAAAAGCTGCGTACATAAAGATGCCATCCATGCGCTGGCTTTAGTCTCAATTCTAACTCTTTTGTCTGTGATTTGCCCTATCATGTTGCTACAATTAAACGATTTACTGGTGACAGGAATTTCTCCATCTAAAATTACTTCCTGGTCCTTAACAAATTTTAAACAGAGCTCTGGCAAGGGTCAGGTAAGAATAAAATCCTAATCCCAGCAAGGCTGTTTATATAGAAAGCTGTAACCGCAGCTGGTTCCCTTATTTACCACTATAATGTCTTAAAGCATAGAACTTATTAGGGCTAACCATACAGATATCTTAACCATAATTTTATACAGTTAGCGTAGGAGATCCTCTATTTAACATATATAAATAATTGAGAATACAATATAAAATAAGGATTGTCTTAGGTGCCTTCATTTTAGGGTCACCGTAGTTCATATATGAAAAAGTAACACTTCTTTTACTTTATTTATTTTAGGACCTCCCTTAACTTAGCAAAAATACAAGGCCATAACTAAAGAGCGCATAAGTCATGGAAATTTTCCTGACTTAATTCAAGATGGCATCTTAAAGTCTGAACATCCTTACCTACTAAGGTTACCACAGTATATTGTGTACTGAAAGAGTCGTAGCATTGCCTTGAAGCTTGTTTATGCTTTATTGTTATTGTATTTCATCTCGGACAAAATGGTGTAAACCTATTATGCACTGAAGGTAAGTAAGAGGTTATTGCTTAAAGAAACAGTTATGAAAAACAATATGTTCCATTTCTAACACCTTGTCAATTTGCAATATCTCTTAAAGACAAAGTACACAGTTTAAAAAATACAACATTTCATTGTAAAACTTGTAATATTTGCATTTGCCCATAACAAAGCCATGTTGGAGACCATTCAACATGCGAAGATAAATTATTTCATTTTTGCATTTTTGTGGGTGTATTGTATAAAAAGTCATATAGACAAATTCTTACAGGGCTTGCTGCCTGAGTGTTCTTTTTGACTCCAACCTCTCCTTCACCCCTCATGTCCAATCAATCACCAAATCCTGTCGCTTCCATCTCAAAAACGCATTCACCCCTATTAAACCCCGGATGCGGCTAAGGTGCTGGTCCATGCTCTTGTTCTCTCTCGCCTTGACTTCTACAATACCCTTCTCAGTGGTCTTACGTGTTCCCAGATTGCACCACTGCAATCTATAATGAATGCATCGGTGAGGCTCATTTTCCTGTCCGCTCGCACCTCCCATGCCTCACCGCTCTGTCAGTGCCTGCACTGGCTTCCAGTTAAATATAGGGCTCAATTTAAAATTCTGGTGCTTGCTTATAAGTCCCTACATAATGCTGCTCCAACCTACCTATCCTCCCTAATACAAAAGTATGTCCCGTCCAGGCCCCTACGCTCTGCCAAAGTCCTACGTCTATCCTCTGTCCATACTCCCACCTCTAATGCTCACCTTCAAGATTTCTCCAGGGCTGCACCTCCTCTGTGGAACTCCCTTCCCTTCTCCGTAAGACTTTGGGGTCTGCTGTGCTGGGGGATAGGATGGCTAGAAGGTTGGAGGTGAATTTAAACTAGTGGTGGGGGGGAGGGTCAAAGCAATCTAGAAAATGGAGATAGGATGGAAAGGAGATGGGCTTTAGATCAGAACAAAGGGGATGGAGATGGGGGGAGGGGAAAGCTCAGAACAGAGGAGGTATGTAATATTGATAATTCACAAAAAGTACAAAAGATGATAATATTAAATGTATGCTTACTAATGCAAGGAGCCATATAACAAAATGGGGGAACTAGAGGCAATAGCATACACTAAACAATATGATATAATAGGCATAACAGAAACATGGTGGGATGAGACACATGACTGGGCAGTTAATTTAAATGGGTACACGTTATTTAGGAAGGATAGGAAAAACAAGAAGGGTGGTGGGGTATGTTTATATGTCAACCGTGAGTTAAAGTCAAATCTTAGGCATGTGGAGTGTGACGAGGAAAAGGTGGAGGCTTTATGGGTAGATATCTGCTTGGGGCAAACAAAGGGAAATCATTTATTGGTTGGGATATGTTATAAACCACCTAATGTAAATATTAATGAGGAAGAACAGCTGTTAGAGCAAATTGAGAAAGCTGCAAATCGAGGTAACACGTTAATTATTGGAGATTTTAATTATCCAGACATAAATTGGGAAAGAGGGACTAGTACTTCAGCAAGGGGCATCAGGTTTTTGAATGTGTTAAATGACACCTCTTTGTCACAACTGGTACAAGCACCAACTAGAAAGGATGCTTGTCTGGATCTTGCCATAACAAACAATGTTGATATTTTAACCAACATTCAAGTAGGGGAGCATTTGGGAAATAGTGATCACAATATGGTAAATTTTGAAATAAACTCAAAAAAGCAAAAGCAAGTGGGGTATACTAAAACATATAATTTAAAAAAAGCCAATTTCAATAAGATTAGGGCAGCTCTACAACATATCGACTGGCATAAACTCCTTAGTGATAAAAACACTGAGGATAAATGGAAACTATTCAAACAAATATTAGAAAGGTAAATTTCTCAGTATGTACCATTGGGTAATAAATATAAAAGAAACAAATTAAAACCAATGTGGCTTAGTAGAGAAGTAAAACAAGAGATTAAAAATAAGAAAAGGGTATTTAAAGCATTTAAATCAGACAAATCAAAGGCATCCTATTTAAGATATAAGGAAGTCAATAACACTTGCAAAAAGGCAATTAAAGTGGCTAAACTAGAAAATTAGAAATTGATAGCTAAAGAATGCAAAACCAACCCCAAAATTCTTTTCAAGTACATCAATTCTAAAAAAACAAAAAATGAAAGTGTAGGTACACTTGAAACAGAGTTGGGTTTATTAGCTAATGAAGACCAGGAAAAAGTAGAAATTTTAAATAACTATTTTCCTTCAGTATATATTAATGAGGATCCTATGGCAAGAGATATGCAAATGATTGCTGCAAAAAACTTGTGATTGGATAACTCAAGACAAGGTGCTACAGCTATTAAAGAAAATTAATGTAAATAAAGCACCGGGGCCTGACGGTATTCACCCACGAGTACTTAAGGAGCTAAGTAGGGAAATAAGTGAACCTCTGTATTTCATTTTTCAAGATTCTTTTGTTTCAGGTGTTGTACTGGAGGATTGGAGGAAGGCAGATGTTGTTCCTATATTTAAAAAGGGTTCAAAATCCTTGCCTGGAAATTATAGACCTGTGAGCTTAACTTCTGTAACTGGGAAAATATTTGAAGGGCTATTAAGGGATAATATTCAGGAATTCATTGGGAAGAACTTTGTTATTAGCAATAATCACCATGGTTTTATGGTAAATTTTCAGGCTGGACAAAAGTGGTAAGTGGTGTCCCTCAGGGTTCTGTTTTGGGACCACTTCTATTTAACATATTTATAAATGATCTTGAAATAGGCATTGAAAACCATGTATCAGTGTTTGCAGATGACACAAAACTTTGTAAAGTAATAAAATGTGAGCAGGATATTGCTTTGCTGCAGAGAGATTTGGATAGATTGGGGGACTGGGCACTAAAATGGCAGATGAAATTTAACATAGAGAAATGCAAAGTTATGCACTTCAGGGTTAAGAATGCACAAGCAACTTACACACTAAATGGTAGTGAAGGATTTGGGAATTGTTATAGACAACAAATTAGGCAGCAATATGCAATGTCAATCTGCAGTTGCTAAGGCCAGTAAGATTTTGTCATGTATAAATAGGGGCATAAATTCTCGGGATGAAAATATAATTTTGCCTCTTTATAAATCGCTGGTAAGACCACACCTTGAATATGCTGTGCAATTTTGGGCGCCTGTTCTAAAGAAGGATATCATGACACTGGAGAGGGTACAGAGACGAGCTACAAAATTGATAAAAGGAATGGAGCATTTTAGTTATGAAGAATGGTTAAAAAAATTAAATCTGTTTAGTTTGGAAAAACGGCGCCTGAGAGGGGATATGATAACTTTATACAAATATATTCGGGGCCAGTACAAACCTTTATCTGGAAATCTATTCATAAACAGGGCTATACATAGGACACGAGGTCACACATATAGGCTGGAAGAAAGGAGATTTCATCTAAGGCAAAGAAAAGGTTTTTTTACAGTAAGAACAATAAGGACATGGAATTCTCTGCCTGAAGAGGTGGTTTTGTCAGAGTCCATACAGATGTTTAAACTGAAATTGGATAAATACTTACAAAAACATAACATACAGGGATATAATTTCTAATTAGTGGGGTAATAGCTGCTTGATCCAAGGAGACATCTGACTGCTATTTTGGGGTCAAGAAGGAATTTTTTCCTAGTTTGTGGCAAAATTGGAAGCGCTTCAGACCAGGTTTTTTGCCTTCTTTTGGATCAACAGCAACAACATTTGTGAGGAAGGCTGAACTTGATGGACGCAAGTCTCTTTTCAGCTATGTAACTATGTAACAATGTAACTTTCACCCAGTCTCCACTCATTCAAAAAATCATTGAAAACTCACTTCTTCAAGAAAGCATATCAGTTAAACTGTAAGCAGGTTGATATCCCCCTCCACCATGACTCCTCTCTTGCAACTGTCAAAAATGACCTACTAAGCCCTAAATGAATACTTTTCTAACAATCTACTTCGTAGCCCTATTTTTACCCTTTGTGTCACTATACCCCACTCCCTCTAGAATGTAAGCTTATTGAGCAGGGCCCTCCACCTCTCTGTTCCTGTATGTCCAGTTGTCTGGTTAAAATTACATGTCTGTCAGTCCACCCATTGTACAGTGCTACAGAGTGTGATGGCGCTATATAAATAATGAAATAATAATAATAATAATTTACTAAAATGCCAAAATGCTAAAAATAAATAAATCAATAAAAAAAAAAACTGATTCCAAAACTCCCATGGAACAGTAGAATCTGGCTGTAAAGTCAACCTCTCTTGAATAAAATTGCAGCAACAATGTATCAATATGAATGAACTTGTACAATATTACTATACTCGCTCCCATGGTGAATACAAATATTCCTTCCCATTCAGAGAACCCACTGATCTACCTAACATAACAGAAAATCACAATGATAATAAAAAAGTATATCCATGAAGTAATAACCTAACAGACCTTATTTCATTCTGCCTATTAGAATGTATGAGAAGATCTCTCGAGAATTTACTGCAGAGAGTTGTAATGATTGGTACCAGGGTTCTACAAATTAGAAAGGAGGGGACCAATACGATAATATACTCATAGCGCTCAGAGTAGTTGCCAAGATAGGCAATATGAGATAACACATAAAGTAAACTTCTAACACATGAAAAAGGATTAACTTAAAATATATATTGGCACTTTTGATATTGGCTTGGACGAGGTTAAAAACATTTTAGGTAGATACTGGCCTCTTTTGTGCCCAGATCAACATCTTAGGGGAGTGTTGACACCACAAGTGTCTATCACTGCAATACAGTGATAGACACTTTAAGGGACATATTGGCTCTTTGGCCTTTTACAACTCTCACAACATCTTCATCTTAGCTGAAGTCAACAGCAACATGGACATATCAGTGTGTGCCAAAGGTGAATGGGGTAAATTTCATCCTACAAAATTCTAAGGAGTTTACTAGTAGTGATAGCTCTGAAACTTTCCACACTAGATCTTGTTTCAGCTGCAAGACTACAGGGGTTGCATATATCACGTAACGTGCAGATGTGGGAAGAAGTACGTAGGCAAAACTTTCCACCAATTTAAACTAAGGATTTTAGAACATGTGAACTAGGTTAAAGGTAATCAGCTCAGCGATACCCCAATCTCCACACATTGGAAACTGCCGCATGGAGGTCATCTGAAGAAATATATGGTGCTGTGGAATAGAACTGGTGAAAATGGGCCAACGGAGAGGTGATCTTGATAAAAGACATAAACGCAGAGAATGTTTCTGAATTAATCTACTAAAAACATTAGCACCGCACAGTCTCAATTAAGGTTTTGTTTTTATCATTTGTTGTCTTTACTTGCCCTATTTTGTATTAAGAGTATTGTGTTTTTTATCTTACTCTTTACCTTTGAATTTTGGTTGAATTTCAATTTTGGAACATTTTAATTCCTGTACATAGTAATTCCATTTGTTTGTCGATATCTCTCCCTTTTAGATGCTTCTTTTCTGTTACTACTATTTAGAACTTTGTTACATTGTAATTATGGCCTTCTATTTGATTTTGGCCATTTGTCTGCTTTGTTTGTTGTGTAGTGGTTACATAAACCCGCTATCTAAACAATGTTTCCCGTTCATTCTAATTTTGTATAATGAATGTGTGTGACTCATTTCAGCGTTGGCCTTTGTACCATTCTAATACACTCTGCAAGGTTTTATTTAATGATTTATTTGAATATACAAGCCATACTAACCAGATGGGAGCTATCGTCTAAATGGTGACATAGTTCCACTTTTTGTTTTATGAGTATAGTGTAATTTAGAGGGCCACTCGGACGTGGGGGTATACTGTGCATCAATTTGGATGCATTGATTAGTTTGAATATACAGTGAGAATCCGGGACACATTAGATCATTTACTTATTGGCAACATCAGTTTGCAATTTATTATGCTTTGGATGCATCATGGGTATTTTATGTGAGTGTCTTTTTATCAACATGGTTCTAATTCAGAACTTTGCGTGTGTTCTAAACGGCACTTAGTACTATTCTAATTAGGATTGGATGTGTCATTTCGCCTAACTGGTGATATTAGTCTACGATCCGACATAGATTTGCAAACTCTGATCTTGTGCATCCTGCAAGTATGGATGAACTTATAAACTTGCAAACACAAGAGCGCATATGACTTATTATTTAGCCGTCAAAAATATAGGATTAGAGGTTTAGAGGTGAGCGAAGCTAAACCCTAAATATAACAGCAACCTTTCCAAACTCAGTCTGACCCCTGACGAAAGTGCATCCACAGCATCGAAACGTGCGTTGGGCGTTTTTCTTTTCTCTTTCACTCTTTGCACAGTACACTTAGATCACTATAACTATGCAGTCATTTTTTTACTCTGATTTGATCTGTATCCTGTCCTATCTTAACTAGATTCACAGGGCGTGAGGTCGGTTATGTAGGCTGTCCTGTCAGTCTTCTTTGTAAGTTTTTTATCGGTTACTTCAATCTATACTATCTTGGATATTATCGATACTAATATAGGCTTTTACACATGTTTATTTTTACCACCTAGGAACCTACAGATACGAGGAGGGTCTGTTGACTCTCACTACCCTTTACATATGACACAACTATACTTTTCTATGTGTCTTTGTGTGCCTAGAATTATTTACTGAATATCAGTATTTCTACTCAGATCCTTTTTATGGTATCTCATATTGATTATCTTGGAAACTATTCTGAGCACTACATGTATATTATCACCCCATTGTACAGCGCTATGGAATTTGTTGGTGCTATATAAATAATAAAATAATAATAATCACATGGATCCCTTACTTTCTAATATTTAGAACCCTAGTATCAATGAATACATCTCTTTGCAATAAGCTCTCTCGAGATTTTGTTATACATTCTAATAGGTGATCTCCATAGGCAGAGTTAAATAAATCCTGTTGGGTTATTACCTCATGTCCAACTCAAAGGCTCACACGGGCCAAATAAACAAGATTTAAATTTATGTAGGCCGCAAACAAACAAAAAATTCAGTTTTCGCAGAAATGTAGGTTTATTTAGAAAAGTTTCGAAAAGTTATCTAACTGACACTAAATGACGTCACGCTTGTACGGTTTCAAAGTAAACAAAAGATCGAATTTCTTTTAAAGACACGTGCATTTGCATATAACCAATGTTTCAGTCCAACTACCTTGACATGTTAAGAAAAGTTTGGCCATAGGACTGAAATGGTGAATATATGCTGTTGCACAGCTGTAAAAAAAACAAATTCTAACATAACATGTAGATCTTACACCACTTGCTAGCATGATAAGGTAGAGAGCTTCACTGCAAGTTAGATACACCACCAAACAGATCACACCTGAAATAGTTATCTCACATGTCCCTACTCGACAATAGTTACGCAACCTTACCCACAGGGGTGGTTATACCTAATATCCGCAGGACACACTCGACACTACCTGCACACTTCACAATGTGCTGCGTGCAAT